TTAGAGTAATCTTAAAGTATTTTTTAGTATATTACCGTAATTTGAGGTTTTGATAATAATCAATCTTAAAGTATCCCCAAAGAGTAGATGAAATATATATAATACGAAAATCAATAGTCTTAAAATAATTTAAATATTTAATAAGATCTATCAAGTCCAATCAGTCAATATCGCAAACAGTAAAAATTTTCTCACAAATAGATTTTCTGATACATTTTATCACAGTTTAACACACTCTTTCATTTTTTGATATAATAGTTTAACCAAATAATTTTAATCATAAAATCTTCTTCCTCTTCGCCGAGTTCCTGCCAACTACCGTTGCAGTGTTGGGATTACCTTACTGAGCCTGGGCCATAGATCCCTATCTAATTAATTTAAAAATTTAGTAATTTAAAAATAATAACATTTATCTTTGAATCTTTTATAAATCCAACATTAATTCAGAAAATTATCATGACTATAAAATAATAGAATAAATCACAAGCTGCTGTAATACATTTAAGGATTGAGGATACCTGTAGTTGTCTTGTTAAATCGTCTTGATTTGAATGAACTTCCTCCTGAACAGACATTCTACTGAAATATCCATATTAATCATTTAAAGGATAATTGCATAACAGGACATAAAAAAAATCATATTATTGAAAAATATGTAACTATTCAAGAATATTGTACAATTTGAATGAATAGTAAAATACCATTTAGCAATATTGCTCAATCTGGTGCTATATATATATATATATATATATATATATATATATATATATATATATATATATATATATATATATATATATATAAAGAGCATAATAGATTAAAAATTATATATGATATAATTTGAATTGAATAAGTATTAAATATTTAAGTACACATTTGTAATAATTTAATTTAAAATTTATTTCAAGGAAAATTCCTTGAAGGAAATTGCAAAAAAACTGGATAGACTGGTTGAAATCAAATAACATACTTCTTTGTGAATATTAAGAACTGAAATTTTGTGTATGACAGAAGATAATTTATAAAAACAAAGTTACTCAGCTTATGGCAGCTTCGTAAAACTGAAAGAAATTCATATTTTATACTCATACATCCTGAAACATTTCTTAGAATAAATAATTACCAATAATGAAATGTGAAAATATACCTCTTACAATTTCTTGCGATTTTGTGTTAGTCTTTCTCTATAAACCTATTCTATAAGTATCTTAAAATAACAAGGTGGCCCCAGTGGTAGTCATGGAGACAAATGCGTATTCCTGTGCAAGGGGCCTAGCCTGGTTTGATACCAGCTATTTTATTTAATAATGAACATGGTCATCTCTACGTTTCAAACTGACGAATTGCGTATTTACCCAGAATGAGAATTTTTGGAGGATGGAAGAATTTGAGGAATGAAAAAAATTATACAAAAAAAAAAAAAAAGTACAAAAATTATACGATTTCCGCCCATATCATAGAGTAATCTTTATACGAACTGAATCATGGGGAAATGTTATTTTATATTAGGGATAATACTTTAGAAATAAGTGTATTTAAACTTTTTTAACAATATAAAGTATAGGATTTATTTTTTATTAGATATATTTTTTTAATTAACAGAAGAGGATTTGATGTGGCAAGTTGCGCCATAAGATTTTTTATAGGTGGCATATTTTGATTTTTTTAGAGGAGCACATATCGGTGGGGTTATGAATTTTCGGAATGAAAAGTTTCATACTAAGGGACAAGAGGAAAACGTGGAACAGACAGCAGTAAGAGTGATTGTATATGATCTACAATTTTTCTAATTCTACCTTCGTCTTGCTCTATTTTTAAGAAAAGGCGAACAATAAGATATCTTGGAATTGGAGAGAGTGCCTAAACATAATAATTTGGTTAAATGGTATGTTCGACGATACCCACGGTCACTAACGGATCTAGGATTTAATTTTGGGGGGGGGGGCTTCAGCCCGAAAGTTTTTTTTTTCAAAAAATTACGATAATTACTTTGGAGAAAAAGAAAGAAGCTAACTACCTGTATGAAATGGAGTTTAAGTGATTCCTAAAGCCCTTGTAAATGTAATTACACGAACAATAATACTTTAAGAGATACTTTTTAAATATTTTTTTCGATAAAACATGGTTATATTTTAGCATTTTGGGGGGAGCTTCAGCCCGAAAGCCCCCCCCCCCCCGTAGATCCGCCCGTGCCCACGGTCAACGAACGTTAAATTATCAGATTCGTCAAAAACTGAGACAAATTACTATAAATGGCCCTGCAGTTTTTAAATGAGTTTCCTAAGAGAAAAACTAATAAAATAAAATTTGTATAAAATTCTGCGTTTGATTAGGTCAATTATAACTCTCAAATCGATATTATTTGTAGGGTTCACCAATTTTGCTACCTTGGCTCAACACTTGAAAGCGATGAAAGAGCGATAAAAGATATTGAAAAAGATTGACAAACGGGCGGAAAACAATTGGTATGCTCAATTCAGTTCTCTGGAGCGAAAATATTTATAATAAAGTAAAAAATTAATATATAAGGCCTTGGAAGAGAGCGTCATACTCTATAGTTCGGAAACCTAGCCGATCGAGAAATCATAGAACAAAAGATATCTAACTGTGGAGATAGATTTTTGAAGGAGGTCGGCTAGAGTCTCAAGGACGCAAAGAATCAGAAACGAGACCATTAGAGAAAAAATGGAAGAATATTATATTAGAAATAATAGAAGAAAGAAGATTACAGTGGTATGGGCATATGAATAGCAAACGACTTACCAAAACTGCATTTGAGTGGGTGGCCGAGGACTGGAGAAGGAGAGAAGCAGGCCTTTCTCTCCTTCTCCAGTCCTCGGTCCTGTCATGTGGAGAAATGTGCCTGAGAGCACGGGCGGATCTACGGGGGAGCTTTCGGACCGAAACCCTCCCCCCCTCCAAAATGGAAAAATATAACCATGTTTTATGGGGAAAAAAAAATTTAAAAATATCTCTTAAAGTATTATTGTTCGTGTAATTACATTTAAAAGTACTTAAGGAATAACTTAAACACCATTTCATATAGGTAGTTAGTTTCTTTCTGTTTTTCCGAAGTAATTATCGTTATTTTTATGAAAAAAAAAGGTTTCGGGCTGAAGCTCCCCCCCCCCAAAATTAAACCCTGGATCCGCTAGTGCCTGAGAGTATGGCGGGCGGAGAGATGACGGAAGATGAAGCGATGGACAAAGAAAAGTGGAGAAACCGACTGAGGGAGGAGTTTGGCTGAGGAAAACTTAATTTATGAAGGGAAAATCTTAAATAAAAAAATCGGGATTCGTTATTTCTTCATGAAATTCAGTTTCTTTTGATACCTCGTTTCTCAATATCCTTCGCTGCTGAGAGGTGGGAAAGAATCCTTTATACCATACTTTTAACAGGAATAACTAAGTAAAATAGATACTCATAGACTGCTGAAATATTAAAAATCACAAATATCTTCATTACCAATTTCCAGCTATCACTATTCACTACCGATTTCAAGCGGAGTAAGTGACGTACATTAAATCTATTGGCACTTAGTGAACGCGGAATTTAATGCTCTACAACTTATATTCCATGAGTTTTTCTCTTAGAGAACTCATTTCCAAGCTACAAGGCCATTTATAGTAATTTATCACAGTTGTTGACGAATTTGGTAAAAATCAGCATTCGTTGATCGTGGTTATCAACCATACCACATAACCAAATTATTAGGTTTAGGTATTCATTCGACACATAATTTAACGTTCTTTAATATTTTAATATTTTTCGATTCGATGCACCGCTTAGGAGTTACAGATGAAAAAAATAAAAAAGGTCGAAAAAATCTGGCTTTTTGGGTGAAATAAGTGTTCCCTTGGTGGTCGACGTCAGTACTTTTGCTTTTAACATATCTAATATATATATATATATATATATATATATATATATATTATATATATATATATATATATATATATATAAACTCATATATATAAGTTAAAAAAATAAAAACTTTTCCCACATTTTTCACAATGAATTTCCCGTTTCGATTCTCAAGTTAATGGCATAATATCCTTTAAATCGAATGTCATTTTTATAGATTACAAGATCCAATGGCATACTTTCATGTTTTTAATATAAATGTTATGAATATTCAAAAAAATACATTCAAAAGATTCATAAAAGAATGGCGATTTTTTAAACAGTCTCTCGGACGACTATAAGAACTAAACCCAAGAGCCTTCATGAGTTGCAATCACGGCCGGGTCTACGGGGGGGGGGGGCTTTCAGGCTGAAGCCCCTCCCCCCCAAAATGGTGAAATATAACCATGTTTTATCGAAAAAAATATTTAAAAAGTATCTCTTAAAGTATTATTTTTCGTGTAATTACATTTAATAGCATTTCAAGAACCACTTAAATACCATTTCATATAGGTAGTTAATTTTTTTCTATTATTTTTTCTAATTAATTATTGTTATATGTATATGAAAAAAATCTTTCATACAGGTAGTTAGTTTCTTTCCTTTTTTCCAAAGTAATTATCGTTATTTTTATGAAAAAAAACAACTTTCGGGCTGAAACCTCCCCCCAAAAATAAATCCTGGATCCACTAGTGGTTGCAATGACACTAATACTTTTTTTCAAAGTTTTTTGTAGGTATAATGATTTTCATAAAGACCTTTTTGGAATTTTTTTTCTCGAACTTTATAAATGACTGACATATAAAACACTGGTGTTTTTTAAACAAAATGGTGGGTGATAATTTCCGGTTCTGAGTGTCAATCAGAGGTGATGTGTAAGGTAACAAATTAAAAAAAAATCGTCACAGTAGTCTGGGGAAAAAAGCCACCGGGGGAGGGGGGGGAGGGTGAATGGATTATAACTTTCTAGAAACGTAAAACCCTAAAGTTTGAGAGGTTTTTAAAATTATATTTTCTTATTTGATCTTAACGATTTATTTTAAAATAATAAATGAAAACAAGGAGTGCTAGCGCTGCGTATAAACCAGATACAGAACTAGAATTGCAACAGCTGTTTCTGTTTATTCCACTCCCGCTAAAACCTCTTCTATTACTAAAAGAGATTGATAAACTTGTGATAAGTATACCGGTCTCTCAACAACCAAAATGACAACTAACTCTGAGGATATGCTGAGCCTTTTTGAAAAATTTCAAAAATACGTTGAAGAGGAGCAGGCACGGCGTGAAGTAAGTTTTATTTTATGAAGCAATTGTAGGTACCGATGTATTTTGTAATTTGAGTTTTAGAAAAGTAATATTCAAATTGTTTATAGGTAATACAAGAGTCAGCTCGTGAATTAGAGCAGCATATTAGACAAATGATGACAATTCTTCAAGGAATTCATCAAGATACTGGAATCAAAGACAGTGTGTAGGACAGTAGTTTCCTTCATTATTAAGAATTATGATTCCTTGTGTTCTATGAGCTATTCATTTTAGGTCCAAAAGTGATTAACCGAGCAAAGGAACTGGTTGGTCCCAGCAGCAAAGTTTACCAGAAATTGAGTTCAGGAATCCCTCCTAAAGAGTATTATAAATACCATGAAATTTGGCGAGGCATTACTCAAAAAGCAGTGTTTTGTATTGCATTAATTGAATTCCTTCTGTCAGGGAAACTTGCATCTAGAGAACAGGTTGCAGCTGAACTCTCTTGTATGTATTTTATTTTTAAGTTATTGTTAACCCTTACTCTTATTAATATTACTGTTTTAGATTATAATTTGGGTAAATACTATGTTTACCTAGCTTATAATGGTTTACTAATCTTGTTAATGTGACATATTGAAATTTAGCTCTTGGTATTTCAATATAACTGAACCAATGTTAACTTAGCAATAACTTTAATTTGAATACATTTGGGCATTTTAGCCTGAAATAATTACCTAACAATTCTATTTGGTCAATTAAACTTGACATTTTAATCAATTGATTTATTTAATTTATCCATTGCACTATATAGATGTAGAAGTTGTCGATTCTTCAGACATGACATTAATGGAGATTTTGCGATTATACAGCAATAAGTGCGAGAACATAATTTGGAATTATAATCTTAAGGCTATTTTACGATTAATCATGTGCCTTTTTGTTAAAAAAAGATTTGAATAAATAAGAAAAATTATTAGTTAAGCTTTAGTTTACTAACACCAAGATGGTGGCAGAGCCTGAACTTGATTACGAGTATTAGACAAAAGCTGGTATCAGACCAGGGCGTCAGACACAGGATCATATATTCACTCTCACCAATATAATGCAAAAATCATGGGATGATGATAAAAATATGTACTTAGCCTTCCTCGACCTTCAAGCAGCATTTGATTCAGTCCCAAGAAACGAAATATAGGAAACACTAAGAGAGTAAAGAATGTCCCTAAAAGCCTGGTTGAGGCCATTAAATCCAGATACCAAAATCCAAAAGGAATAGTCAGACTGAATGGACAGGAATCTGGCTATTTTAGCATAGCTAGGGGGATCAAACAAGGTGATAGTTTAAGCGCGTTGCTATTCACATTATACATGGATGAAATAGCTACAATCTGGAAAAGGCGAACAGAAAGGACGTTTCTGGGGCGAAAGAATCTGCTTCCAGTTGTAATTCAGTTTCTTCTATATGCGGACGATATTGTCCTAATTGCTGATTCTGTGGAGAAATTACAGTAGGAAGTTGACAAATGGAACGAAGAACTCCGCAGGAAGGGTATGATCATCAGTTCAAGAAAGAGGAAGATCCTACAGGTTGGAAGGATGCAGGAAGATGTTAGTGTATTGCAACAGAGAGGTGATGGAAGTAGTGCCAGATTTCACCTACCTTGGTACTGCTATGGATCGGTCTGGGAAAGTTGATTCAGAAATTCTGAACAGGATAAGCAAAATAAACACTATATATTACCAGATCTGCAATACTGTGATCAGAAAAAAAGAAGTGAGCAGAGGTGTGAAGGTGATTTAAGACAATATACCTGCCTGTACCCCTGTATGGTACAGAAAGCTGGACGCTCACTGACAAACTGGAGAGAAAAATCACTGCTGCAGAAATGAGGTTTCTCCTAAGGATTGCAGGGAAAATAAGACGTGACTGCATTTGCAATGGAGAATCAAGGAGGAATTTCGGGTTTCCCCGATAAAGGATGTCCTAAAGACTCAGCAGCTTAAGTGGTTTGGGCATGTCATCAGGATGGAAGAACACAGAGATCCATTAAAGTCTATGGACTACATCCCCGATGGTAGAAGACCCCGTGGCAGACCGAGAATGTCGTACCTCGAATACGTAGACCGTCTGTGCAAAAACAGAAATAAGAATATAAGCCAAGCCAGAAATCTTGCAAGAATCAGAGAAAATTGGCAATTCTGGTTAGACGCTCCCCTATGCTGAAAGGCACTACAGGGTGATGCAAAAGAAGAAGAAGATAATTTAAACGTTTTAAAGTGGAAAAGGCACGGCGGGAAATATCCGATACATGGTTTTTCCAGAAAAGCGTTTGATCAAAGGTTATTCCAAGGTTCTTAATGGTGGGATGGAATTTGATAGGATTATCATAAAAGTGCCTTTTTGTCACAAACATTTTTTCTTCTCTTTTTAATTGTATATTAGTTTCTTTTAACAAATTCTAAGAACCATAAAAGTGTATGAAGTAGTCTAAGAAAACTAAAAAAGGTCTCAAAGGTGTTTTTTGGTTGGTGCACCACTTCATCAAGATCTTATTTTCCTTTCAGAACAGAAAAATAGCCCGAAATTTTAGGAAAAAAAAGTTATGAAGGAAAAGAAACTTTATTCGCAATAATTCAAAAAGTATACATTTTTGTTGAGTTTACATATAGATTATTTAAAAAATTATTAAATTCCGTATAAAACAAAGAAAAATAGATAACCATATTCAGGCCATTATAAGCTGAGATATAGGTTTTTTTTTATTAATAATCCTTGGTGTATGAGGGACGGCAGGAGTGTATGAATTTAAAGAGGAATGATGCCAGAAAATACAACCATAGGAAGGTTTACATACAACCTTTTTGAAATAACACAATATATATTTCAGTTAACTTTCAATGAGTAATTACCACTTTATTTCATTATTTATCGATATTGGTCTTATTGCCCCATTGCATTTATTTTCTTCTAATATTTTTATATCTCACTTGATTTGTTTTGATGTTTCATAATTATACATTTTAAATTTATTTTTGTGTAGTAAAAATCGACCAGTCAGAAGGATTTCACCTCGATTTGGAAGATTACTTGCATGGGCTACTTCAGTTGGTTTCAGAGCTGGTTTGTTTTAACTCATTTCATGTCCTTAAAATTAATGATATTTAAAAAATAAATCTTATTTTTAGATAGCTTTAGTGGTTAAAAATGTGATAATGAAAGTTAAGTTTGTGTTATTTTCTTTCTAGTCTAGATTAGCAGTAAATAGTGCTGCTTGTGGAGATTATCAACGCCCTGTTGCTATATCACAGTTTGTCAACGAACTGAATGCAGGATTTCGTTTACTTAATTTCAAAAATGATTCCCTCAGAAAACATTATGACTGTTTTAAATATGATTTGAAAAAAATAGAAGAGGTAGTATATGATCTTTCTATCAGAGGACTGAAGTCTTCTGAAACCAAATCAAGTAAGTATAAGTGTATAATTATTATTAGTGTTTTAACAAATTTATTTATCCTCAAAGTAATAAAATTTTGCATGGGCATTGATCTTTAAAGAAACAAAACAAAGTTGCGAAAATTAAATGAACTTTTCCAAAAATAGATTGAAAATTGCAAAAAATATTCAGTCTATTAGGATTTTATTGATTAAATTTGTTCCTTCGTTAAATTATCGCAATTTTTTTCAAGTTGGTTTATTTATTTATTGTAAATCGCCTTGCTTTCTTTAAAAATAAATAAAATTTAATAAAATGAACTTTTTATATGACTAATAAATTGTCTTAATTTGGTTATTGTCTATTTAAAATTATCGCATTGTTAACTGGTCGTTTATAGTTCTATTAAATACAATTATTTTCTTAATTTGTTTTAGATGTTGATGCCTCACATACATCTAATATCTCAGACGATTCTCAGATGGCTTCTTAGATTTCCAATAAAGGAAATATGTTGCCAAATTTCATATTTCTACTAAGAAATTTTGTCGTCATGTGTACATTTGTATTTTTTTATTTCTTGTAATTTATTATAAATTTCAAATAAACTTCCAAATGTGTTTCTAAAATAAGTCGAATATTCCTTATAAATTCCAAATTTATTCTTAATAAATTAATAATTTAATAATTTATGGTTTTACTAGGATTATTAAAAATAAAAATAAAAACAATAATAAAATTGTTTATTAGGCCATCTCCACCTGTGAACTTCAGTGATAATTTATTTTATCTCCATTTATTTAAAAAAAATTATTTCTTTGAAATAAAAAGAATTGTGGGCTTTCAAAATAATAAACCATAACTAGAGATTTTATTTTAAATTCTTTTTTGGGCTTATAGGACTCTAAAGTCTATTAATAAACCTTGTGTAATTGGTTAGGAAATTAAGTAACGCTAAATGTGATACACATATTGATAAATACTTTCTTAACATAAAATACACTTTTATGTTTAGGTTACTTGGATTATTGAGATTTTACTGTACCTGAATTATTAATAATAATAAAAGCAACTCTAATTATATACCTGTAAAAATAACAATTTTGCTGGTTAGTTGTATAATTAAACAGATCCAGCAAGACTTGGAATCTGTAATATTTGTTCATGTCGATAATGTTTGGATCCATTGTATTGCCATTTTACAAACAAAATATTTCGTGCCATTGAAAATTTTGAAAACTTTTTAAGTTGTTGACTAACTTTTATATAGCATAGCATTTGAATGTGAAACAGCAGATTGTAAAAGTGACACTGATTGTGACTTGGAGTTTTTTTTTTATAGTAAGCCAATAGCATATTGCTAGAAATGATTATTAGGTGACAATTTTATATATTATAAAAAGTCATTAGTTGCATTTCATAAAATAAATAACCATGTATTTCCCTTAAGTGAAATGAGAACATTGTGCACTTCAAGCCATTATTTTTGATTTATAAAAAGGTTTGTGGCATTTTGATGTATTTACTTTTCTTTTTTTCATAAAAAAATAAGTTTAAAATTAACAAAAATGTACTTAGAAGTTTAGTATAATTTATTACGATTGATATTAATTCTAATTTGTTTTATAATGAAAGATATACCCAGTGATTTTTTGCAATAAACCGATGGTATGTGTAATATAGTTATAATAGCATAAAATCATAATATATGCCCTTTATAGAATCAGGGTATACATTTCTGATAGATATTAAAACCCAATTCCTAAAACTCTTATAAAACCTTGAGGACTAATCCAAAATTCCAAAGAAGAACTTCCATTTTATTAAGCATGGTGGGTCATCTGTTTTGAATTGAAATAGATCATCTAAATTAACAATATTTTATTCAATAAAAATTGTAATATAAAATATCAGTTCATAACCCTGTATTTATAAAAATATAATGTATTTTATTCAACAGTATACCTGAAAAACCTCATAAATTTCATTGTTACATTCTCAGTTTTGTCGTTTGTTTATGACCAGTTCTGTCTACTTATTATCTGAAAGGTGAAAATGATTCAGAGATTGATTTTAGTCTTCTGAAAAATTATGTCAGAAGCATTTACGAGGTTTTTTAAGTCAATGTGCATATATAAGTTATCTTAAATTGAGAAGAACAGTAAATTAATAATATTTCATCTTAAAAATTATTATACTATTAGTAAGGACACAAAAGGTTTTGATTTATTATCAACATACATTTTTACAATCTTAATAATTACATTTCATCAAGGTATTAACTTGCTTATTTAAATGATTTTTTTTTTCTAGTAATTGTGATGACTTTATAAGTAAGTCTACATTTACAGCATAGTTTAAATTCTTACTATTTTTTTTCATTTTATAAGGTATTGTTACCTTGATATTGCAATATGTAAATACATAATAATATATATTTCAACTTGTTAAATTTATTAATTAAGAATGGTGTAAATAATCAATTCCCTAAAATGTCATGTGCTTATTATATTATTTGTATTAATTATTAATCAAATTAATGAATACTGTCAGCTTCCTCTTTGTTATTTATTTTATAATCACAGTTTAAACATTTCTTTTTTTGTCAAACATCCAAGCCATATTCTTTCACCTGTACAAGGCGGTTCTGAAAGAAAAAAGAAGAAAATAAAAAAAAACGAACAAATTTAAAATTGTATCTTAAAACAAATTACAATGTGTGTGAATGAAACTAAATAAAAATATATAAATGGCTATCCTTGAATAGGAAAAAGAGCAATAATAATTACCTAAATCAAACCAGACTTCATCATGTTTTCCGCTGTCTTTGCGTGCTGATTCAATAGCATTGCGGAGAGCCATGACAATTGAGCAGCTTAAGCAGAGTGGAGGTTCACCAGTAGCTGAAAAAAATTATTTCATTTTAATTACTTTATATTTTCATTAAAACAGTGTTTGTTACAATGCAAAGTAGAATCGGTTTCACATATGTAATGGAGGAAATCCGTACAGATTCTCTCCCTATAATATTCTTCCAACACATTGTTTAGAGAACAAAAAAAAAATGTATGTGAATTGAATGATTGAGCATCCAATTATTTAAAAACAACTAAACATATTGATTTTAATGAAGTAAATAACATAAGACATTTTCCCCTACTAAAATGAGAAGAAATTTTTATATAATTAGCCTAGCATTCTTCCATGATTAAAGCTAGCAATTACTAAGCTGAGTTATGAATTACTTTTAATTACAAGCTATTTAATTTTTTTTTTCTTATGCCTCTTGACTTTCGGCTGCCATCATGAATCTTTCAGCAGCTTTCGGGTTTTATAGGTGACAGCTGTGATTGTTTTAGCATGTGGTTTACAATAAATGGTGGTTATCACAATCCCTCCTCTTCATTAGGCACTTTCCTCATGGACGATTGTCAACTTTGCCGAAAATTACACCATGTCTGATGTACATCCTAAGGTCCTCGAACCTACTCTGTCCTTTGTTATAGCTGAGGATATTTTGCTTGTTGTAGAATAACTTCTTTTTGCACATTTTAGTATATTTTTCATTCTTGGCAGTTAGCGGTACATTTCATGGTTATTTATTTCATAATAACAATTTAATTTGTTATTTTAAAATAATTATTCTTGTGATGATTTTAAGCAAATTAAACAATTGTTTTAATTAACTGCGTTTAGGACAAAATATTGATGGATTTTTATGTAACTTTTTTGTAATTAACCTATTTAAAAACTAAAATTGGTCATTTCAAACCAAACTACTATTTCCTTCCCAAAACAGCCATTTTTCCCCCTATGTGTACTGTAATGTCTTGTGGATTCTAATCTTCTTGTGGAAGATATTAATAGGAGTACATTATCTCTTTTCAACTTTAATCTTAAGTTTAATAGGTAAATAATTTGTTTCCTCACTCATCAACGGATCCAGGATTTAATTTTGGGGGAGACCTTCAGCCAGAAAGCATTATATATATATATATATATATATATATATATATATTATGTTATATTATAGTAGAATTATTACTCATTCTACTAAGAAAACCTAGGCGAGAGCACAGGCGGATCTAATAAGAGGGTGAGAGGCTTTCTGACTGAAGCCCCCCAAAATGGTAAAATATAATCACGTCTTATAAAAAAAAAAAAAAAAAAGATCTCTAAAAATATTATTGCTTGTGAAGTAATATTTAATAGGACTTCAAGAATATCTTTAATTTCAGATAAGTATTTAGTGTCTTTCTTTTTCTTATAAAATAATTATCATTATATATATATATATATATATATATATATATATATATATATATATATATATATATATATATATATATATATATATATATATATATATATAATGCATATAATATCATTATATATACATATATATATAATGATAATTATTTTATAAGAAAAAGAAAGACACTAAATACTTATCTGAAATTAAAGATATTCTTGAAGTCCTATTAAATATTACTTCACAAGCAATAATATTTTTAGAGATCTTTTTTTTTTTATAAGACGTGGTTATATTTTACCATTTTGGGGGGCTTCAGTCAGAAAGCCTCTCCCCCTCTTATTAGATCCGCCTGTGCTCTTGCCTAGGTTTTCTTAGTAGAATGAGTAATAATTTATTTACTTAAAGAATTTGATCTACTGATTTTCAACTTTAATAAAAAAACAAGCAACACAATACAGAAATTTTGTATACCTTTAGAACGTAGAACACCAGTTGGATTGGGTGCATTTTTCCGTAGAGTTATTCTGAAGTCAATTGGTATATCTTTTGCACCTGGTGGTTTGTAATTCTGAAAAAAAAAAAAGAATGTTTTGTACTAATTTAATATATGTATATCTAATTTATATTTATATAAATCTCTAGATGTAAATTTCAATGGTTTATCATAAAATAATTGTTACACATTCACAAAATAATGTAAAATCAGGATCTAGCAAATCATTACCCAAGTCCTGTTGGTCAGTAACTGGCCTGTTTCTCTTTTGTATACTGTTTCCTCGCAGGTAAAGTAGCCTGTGCCCATGATAAAAGCACCTTCCACCTGACCTACATCTATTTCAGGGCTTAAAGATTGTCCAGCATCTTCCATTAGGTCTACTCTCTTGGTCTGGAATGAACAAGTCATCATTGAATAAAAGTCTATAAATTTGCAAGAACAGGATAAAAATTATTTAGGAATCAACTGCTACAAGTTTCTCTTAGCAATATATATATATATATATATATATATATACATATATATATATTACAGAAACCGACACAACTTAAAAATTAAAGATTATTAATCATAATCATCTCATGTGAAAAAACATTAATTTTAGATTTGTATCGTATTTCTTCCAAAGTGGTAATACTTAAAACATAATTATTATTATTGATAATACATTATTCTTTTTTTATATGCATAAATATTTTTTTTTTTTTTCACTTCAATTATAAAGATAATTTTCTTTCAACTTACATGATATTGGCCTGTAAGGACATCTATCTCAACTTCAGTAACAACCACACCATAAATAGCATATGATTTTACGTCATCCCTACTTGTAAACCTAAAACAAATTAGATAAATACATGTGAAATTAAATCTGTAAATGGAAACATGAAAAATTCTGACATCGATGGAAACTTGCGTCGAATATCCCCTTAAAATTATTTTAATTAAATAAATCATGTAAACAAATCTCAGTTTTTATACAAATCACTTAGTATTTTGTATATTATTGAAATAGTACTATCAAATAATGTTTTATAGCATAATAGTCTTTTGACTTCTTGCCCCTGCAATCAATGCAGGCAACCTTTTGGAGGGGGAAAGGAGATTCGGTTAATGTCTCTTTGCAGGTTAGTAATTTTTTATATAAACATTATTATTAGTGATACGAACCAATGAATTGTCCTTAATGAACAGTTTATGTGAAATTGTATTAATTTATTTGTCATTGATTTCTTAATCTGAACCTTGCAAACTTTACAAATGAAACTATGGATCTCCAAATTTATTACTTTATAAAATCTTGTTTGCTGTTTCAATGTTTTTAGGTCTGATAAATTAAAAATGTTTAAGATGAGCTATCCATTTTCTAAAAAAGTCACATTAAGAGGAGGGTGGTCCAATTTGAGGAGGAATAAATGATTTCTTCATAAGGAAAATTTTCTTTTGTAAGAAAATCTCAAGTAATAAGCGTTAGCTATATAACATGTCTCAGTTTGAATATAAGCTGTTGGACAAGTAAGGATATAATTATGAAACTGCTGGGCTAAGAAGAACTAAACGGGCTTATTCCAACTGCAACCAAGTATTTACTTCCTCCTAAAGTTTTAGAACATATTAATTTTGGATCTTAGGATCCATAGAACAGATTTTTTAAGAGGTAATCGCTATGTATTTAAGAGCTGTTCAAAGCCCATGGCTAAGTTTCTGTATTTATTTGTTTTATCAAATTTTCGCCTTATTCAATAATCTCTTATAACTTTCAGTGTAAAGATTATGTATACTTAGCTCTGCCATAAATACTGTTACAAAAGTTGAACAGGAGATCAAATGCCTGTGTCATGACAAAAGGAGGACATTTTGAGTAATTTCTTTTTTGTTTTAATTTCTATAGATATACATTTTATTTTCTAATAAAGATTTCGAAAAAAATAATTTTTCTGTTGAAATCTGTATATATTTCCTTATAAGAGTATTTATGACAGGACTTGGTAATATATATATTTAAAAGTAGTTAGGTTTACTCACATGTAGGTATAGTTGAGGTTAATATTTTGTTTGTAAGCCTCATTACAAACATCTTTCCAGCATGCTGAACTTCCCAGTTTCTCCTTTATTGGTTGTAAACGTTTGTTCAGTTCTTCACAGCATACTTTCACAGCCTAAATTCAAAGTAAATAGAATTATTTAGTTATATATCATTATTAATAATCTTAATTTAAAAAGCATATCCTCTCTTTTTCTTCTTCCTAATATAATAGATTAATATTTATTAATACTTATTTAGTTTTTCGCAATGTAAAAAATCAATAACAGTTTGCACAAAGTATCTATTGAATACTAATTATTTATTATATTTTACTCACATAACAAATTGCTTCACTTCCAAGACTTCCACCAGTAGATGAGTTGTTTGGTGAAACAACTGAAATTGTTGGTTTCACACTAATTGATTCAAGTTCTACTCCAAGAATGTGAGCAGCTACTTGAGCTGCCTGTAAATTAAAATCAATTTTTACTTATTCAAATAAAGTTTGAAATCTGTCGATAACTCAAATGGAATTTTTTGTGGATTACCTTAGTATTTACACCTTGACCCATTTCGATTGCTCCATGAGAAATAGCAACAGATCCATCCATACCATAAATTGATACCATACCATAGAAGCTTCCCCAGAAATCGAATGGATAATTCATAGGTACGAGAGCGATACCACGTTTTTTCCAACGATTTTGCTGTAATCATAAAATAATTATGAAACCATTTCATAAATTTTATTTCAATTTCAACATAATTGCATAATTGATAAATTAAGATTGAAAATATTACCGCATTGAAATCTTGGATTTGTTTCAGTCTGCTATCATACTCTGCATTTTTTCTCATATCATTAATCAAAGGAACAATGGGGTCTGAAGGATCTATGTTTGCCAATCGGACTGAAATTGGGTCTTTTCCTGTAGCATTTGATATATGCTCCATAATTGTTTCAATAAATGCTATTGCCTCAGTTGAACCTGAAAATTGTCAAAATCAATAAATGACACTCCATAATTTAATGCAGTTTTGTTTTCATAAATTTTATTTTCATTAGTTCCAAGATATAAATCATTAACCAAGGCAAATAAAAAATATCTATGATATGCCATCTTCCTACACCATTAAAATTTTATATGCCAAACATAAATGTGTATTTGAAAAAAATTACTTTGTCAACAACACTATAAACAATTACTTAATGCATATAATTTTTATCTTTTTTTAATATACTTTGGATGTTCTATATAATGGGTTCTATAGTTGACAAGAATTTTTATAAAGTAATTTACTTTTCACCATTCCTATATGTGGCGATCTAAGGGGAAAAGTAACAGATCAGCTAATTACACACATTAGTAGCAATTCATATTTTGAATTTTAAAAAGTTAAAATTCACAAATATCCCATTTGATGAATTTGTTCTTTTCAGGCATTCAACAGAATGCAAAAAATATAAAATTTAAAATAATGAAACAAACTTTAAAGAAATAAAAAAAAATTAATATGGCAGATTCCAAACTTACCTGGTGCCCGACACCATGTATTGCAAGCAGAATCAGTTGTTACGCCATAACCAGTAATATCCCATCTTGATGAATTATACACATTTCGTAAATGATGAATTGTGGCACCGATTGAAGAATCATTTGGGCAATAGCCATCATCTTGATATATTGCTCCCTTAAAGTACTGAATAACTCCATTATCATCTACTCCCACCTAATCAAAATTTTTGTGTTATTACTATTTAATGAATGTCAAGCATAAAAATAAACAATATTTTTTACAGATTCTGAAACTTAGGCTAAATGATAAAATTAATACTTTGTTAATCTAAATTAAGATAAGTAATATGAATTAAGAGTAATTTTCAGCTGAATAAATGAATTTATTTAGGTTCTGATGTGGGAAATGAAGCCAATAAAACGAAAATATTATAAGAAATAAGATGATGGTAAATTATATTTCTAATTTATATAATTTATTAATCCTATAAAATTTAGTTTAGAATTCATTAAAAATGTGTTAATAATTTTCTTAAGGTAAAAATTTATAATTTTATAAAATTTATAATTTTAGCTAATAAATATAATTTGTGATACTTGCCTCATAATTACTATAAACTGGAAATCTCTTCCCAGTCCATTCCATATTGGTTTCCAAATTAAGTACCATTCTTACTGGCCGATGAAGCAGGTGTGCACTGAGAGCAGTTGTAGCTGCTATGTGGTTAGCTCTAGAAATCTTTGCTCCGTACCCACCACCTAATCTTCTTACTCGCAAATCAATTCTAAAAAATAAAAAAAAATAAAAAAATTACGTAATTGCATAAGTTAACCACATTTGGAAGACTGCTAGATATAAATAAAGAAATTAATTCAACATCAGCCTGTGAAAGACCTTATATAATTCTAAGAATTCGTATTGACAAGCAATGAGCTCCTTTTGTCTGATTTACCTCCTGGTGAACATTAGAATGTCATTTCAGGATTGAATGGATCTAGAAAGTATCTCTCGAACCATGGTTCTGACAAAATTCCCATTAATTTTGAACCGTAGAAAATTTAATATGCCCAGTATTGCCAGAATTTGAAGCAGGTTTATTCAAGGTGTTCAACCTTGCTCGCTACTATACATGAAGATTTAAATTTTCGCTGAAGTGTTTTAAAAATAAAAGTTTTACCTCTAATCATTAGAGAATATTATTTTTCTGAGTTATTAACTAAGTTTCACAATACAAGGGCACCATTCTGTCTAAGTTTGAATTGACACCCATCAAATAACACAATATTCTTAATAGTAGTAACATGAAATATCTATTGCATTCAAGTAAACTCAAGAAAGTGGCGGGGTGGCCGAATGGGCTAACGTGTATACTATACATGAAATAACTGGGTAAAAATTTGTCACGAGAAGTGAACTCAAGACAGTGTTGTAGAAAATTACTTTTTTATTATTTATTATTTACTAATTGTATAAATGTAATATGTATTTTATTAATGCAATGTAAATCATTTATAAAATATAAATAAATCTAACGATAAAGATGGCAAAACTAGTTCAGACCAATAGGCAGCATGAACATGCTTGACTTGGGCCTGTTCACTTGTGGCATCCATTAGAGTGACATTGAATCTTGACTGTTTTGTTTTAGTACCCCACGATCCCATAACAGACAGTAAATTATGTAATTCAAATTTAAGAGGATAACCAATTGATAATTATATTAATAAATTACCACAGATCTATTTATACAAATAAGTAAACATTAAATACCTCCTTGAAACTAGATTTGTTAATAATCTTCTTGTTAATATAATACTTACGCATTTTCTGGGATATTAAGAACTAAACTGATAGCTTCTTGAGCGGATGCTGGCCATTGAGAAGCAGGATAAACTTCTAAGTGGTCCTCAGTTGGAACTGCAATGCAGGTTTGTGTTTCCATAGTATAATGATATTGTGTCTTCAGATCCCATGTACCTTTGATGGTATGCTTTACGTCCTCTAGATATTTAAACAAATATATATTTAGATAGATCCAATTACCCATAAACTCCGACTAGGTAAAATAAATTAACATTGTTTTGTATATCTACAATTTATTTTTATCTTATTTTGATATTGTTAACAATTATAACATGTTTTTAAATTATACCTACTTCCTTGATCTTTTGGAGTTAATTTAGCATATTCTTTAATTCTTTCTTGCAAACCACCATCTATTATTTCCCTCATGTCAATTAAAATCTTTCCTTGATCTGTATATTCTATTTTTACAAGCTTGGCAGCTTTGATTGCTAGAGTGTGGCTTTCAGCAATTATTACACCTACAGCTTCACCAGCATATTTTGCCCTTCCATCTACGAAAACCTTATTAAAAAAAAGATTGAGTAAAAGTTTGGAAAATAATTCTAAAACTATAATGTTAATATAAAATTTAGTACTTACCCGCTCATTTTCCAAATAGTTTACAGATTGAGATTGAATAAAAGAATTCTTTCCAGGTATATCTTTTGCAGAAAAAAAAGCAATGACTCCTGGTAATTTCTGTAATTTAAATTATATGTATAAATATATCTGGTGGTAATACAATTGTATACATTCAAACATTTAATTTTAATAACTGTTGCCATCTTTCAGCCATAATAACTCTTGGTCTATCCCCTAAGGAATGATTTTATGTTACTTGCATGACCACTAGTACAACACAGTTTCTCCTTCTCTAGATTCTAACTACTCCACAATTGTGACTTGTATTCCAATATAATTTTCTTCTTATTTTTTTTTTTTTTTTATATTTTTATGATAATTTACTACAATTTTCAACTTAAAAAAAAAAAAATTGGTTTAGAAAATGGATGGTTGATTTGAGAAGGCAAATGAAAGATGTGGATTGAGGAGATCATGGTACATCAATAGTTTTGGAACTGGGCTAATTAAATATTTATTAAATTTGCCATATATTAAATTCTTCTTTATTTAAAAGTTATTTATTATTCATTAATAAATGGCTGTCCCTACAAAAAATTAGTTAATGTGTGTATAGAAGTTAGTATGTGATTGGTTCGGTTTCACTTGCCTTTAAGTAAAATCTTACTAGAGTATAAGTGGGCCTCCTGATTCTTTTTGCCAAAGTATAATCTTAGGGGTTCTGGAATGACTACAACTGAGTGGCAACTTGAATAAAGAAAAATTCTTTCGTTTAATCAAATTTAAAGGAATAAGGTTTCAAAATATAATGACACAAACTACTAAATTAAATTAAGTAGAGATGGTTGACCAAGATATAATATCAGCGGATGCGGTAAAATAAATACTAAATTTAAAAAAATAGTATTTTTAATTATTACGCTGACGTTTTTACCCACCTTGCAGGTCTTCATCAGGGCTACAAAAGATACAAAATGTAAAAGGTACATGGTGAAAATAAAATAAATGAATTATAAGTAGATATTAAATAAGAAACAGTTGCCTGACAAAGAAATAATAAGATGACATGAATAAGAAGATACAAACAAAAATAGAAAATAAGTATGAATAAAAATAGAAAACAAAGGGGAATATAGCGTATAAGTTATAAGTAAACAGATTGTAATAAAAAATAAGAAATGAACATTCATCAAGAAATAAAAAAAAAGAAGAGAAATCAACATTCATTCTCTCTATCTGTTAACCTACAGTTATCAAATATAATCTTTATTAGTTTGTTATACACTCATTTCTTATCTTTTCTTCTTACTTTTACTTTTACTCATTTCTTATCACAATATGTTTACTTTTAACTTACACACTATATTCTCCTTTGGTTTCTATTTTTATTCATACTTAGTTTCTATTTTTTGTTTGTATCTTCTCTCTCTCTCTCTCTCTCTCTCTCTCTCTCTCTCTATATATATATATATATATATATATATATATAATACTTGATATTTTAACTACATTTTATTTTCACCCACTATATCTCTGATGTCATCTTATTATTTCTTTATCAGGTAACTGTTTCTTATTTAATATCTACTTATAATTCATTTATTTTATTTTCACCATGTACCTTTTATATTTTGTATCTTTTGTAGCCCTGATGAAGATTTGCAAGGTGGGTCGAAACGACGGCGTAATAATTAAAAATACTACTTTTTAAAATTCAGTATTTATTTGACTGCATCTCCCGATCAACTCCTCATAGAATTATTGTATATTTAGCTATTAAGTTAATAGTTGAATAAGCCAATAGTTTTATTTTAAATATTGCTAGAAAATGGTTAGTTAATTTGAAATTATTAGTATTAAATCAATCAAAAATACTAACCAATGCTTCAGAAGGATCAATTTTAGAAACAAGGGCATTGGCCCTTTCTGAGAGTACTAGTTGTCCCCACACTTGTCCAGGGATCGCTGGAATATCATTTGTGTATTCTGCTTCTCCTATGATAGGAAAAATGAGGGTTGAATTTTTATATATTTATATAATATAAGTTTCATTTCTTTTCCATACTTCCTTAGAATTCTGCATACCTGCACATTGTGTCAGTGCTTCAATTTTGGGAACAGGTTTATTCAGAGGCCATATTGATGAGTCTGTCTGGAAATCTTGAATACCCTTAGAAACCGGTCGTTGAAGAAGAGAACCTCCACTTTTATACTTTGCACTAATTTGATCTGGTGCCAGTGAAAGAATGAACTGCAGTTTGAAACAATTAAAAATATGATTTTAATTTTTTTCAATTTAATAAACTATGGTTGTATTATATTCATTAGTAAAATTTTTAGCTACAATGCATAATATATGAGACCTACTAACATTTCTATTTTCTTATATTTCCATTTTAGATAAGTTCAGATAGAATTTTAGATAAAAATTCAATTCGCACTGCGAAACATTAAGAAGGCAGAACAACTTGTCAGAAATTCATTCTATTAATAACAAACTTTTCTAGAGTTTTCTGTCTAGCTTTTTTTTTTACAAAAATATAGAATTCTGAGTTATCTGTTCTGTTAGTAGATCCCTTATACTTAAAAATATAATCATAATTATATTTAAATTAAAATAATTAATATTCTAAACCTTATAGAAAAGTGATAAAGCAAGACCAATTCTGAATTCTGGTGTTGCGTCAGGAAGGATATGATCAGGTTTCAGCTCTGATTCCAAAACCGAAAGGGCTCCTTTCAGAGTTATCTCATCCAATAACTTTTTACCTGCAACAATTTTGATGTAATAAGCTAAGAAGGCAGTTGTTTATTTATTTCTATAATGTTCATTTCGCAATAGAAAATAATTCACAAATGAAAATACATAAAATGTATTTAAATTTATAAGATTGAATGTTTATGATAACTTGATAATGCTTAAAACCTGAATATTTTAGTGACATAGTAAACGTAATACTTGTTTATTAAAAAAGAGAGCCTTCAAAAAATTGGATAGTAAGCTACCACTAAAATTTTGGAAGAAATTTGACAAACAAATAATTTGCAACCTAAAATGAAGGTGTATAAATCATAACAGTATGCGTTTAACTTTACAATGTTTTAACTTTTGACAAAAAATTGGAGCGATTCCTCTACCATTGAACAGAATGATATTTGCTTTAATTATTTTGAAAACCATGAATTATAAGATATCTTTTATTTATTAAAAAGTGAAGTTTTGAAAAGAAAAATTTAGAATTGATAAAACAACATTGCTTATTACCTGTTAAATATTCCTCAGTTTTTACTGCATGGAGCTGAAACAACAGTTATCAAGGATTATGTTTTTTAATTGTAAATCTATAAAAAATATCATTGACATATACACATTTGTAAGTTTATAACATCATAAATATATGAATAAATATTAAAGCATAAATTTAGAAAAAAATATTTTTTAAATTTTAATTTATCTTGGTTATGTTTTAAAATATTGAATACTAAGCAAATTATCTTGAAACATTGAACTAATTATGAAATTGTAGTAGTTAATAATATTTCAAATGGATTTAATACATAATTTACCATCAAAAATGATACTTACAAAAGAAGGCTCTATTCCTCCAAATAAGAGAGTTGGCTTTTCCATGACAGAAAATTTGTTATTTTTATCAACTTTTACTTTAAAACCAGCATTAACATAAGCATGGGCATTTTGTGCTCTAGGCATTATCTGCAAAAATCAGTTAATATAATAAAATACTATATTTATAATTCTGTATTAATAATTAATATGCTTCTCAGTGGCATAGCTAGGTAAAATGTTTTTTGGGCCAAACTTCAAGATTGTCACTCTCTTTCATAATTTCATTTTATCTGATTTCAACTCTCTCACACTAGTTCATCATTTTTTCGCACTTGAAAAATTCATTGAACTAAAGTAAGACCTCATTAACTCAATAACTAGAGTAGCTCAATAATTCAAAAGAAAAATCTTCCAGTCCCGGAACATTCCTATCTTTTTCTTCACATTTTGAGCTCTCTATGTCAGACAGATGCATTGATAAATCAAATATGGGTTTATATGAATGTAGTGAAAAAAAGCTTTGGTAATTGAAAAAAAAAATATTAAAATACTCTATAATTCTAAGTGTGATCAGAAAGAGTGGGTAGGTAGCCAGAAAGCTTAAATAACTTGAAGTTCAATTTCTTTAAAGCCTCAACACAAGTTTTTTCTAGGTGAGTGGGAAAGTATAAAGGTGTTAATTTACTCTCTTAAATCCTAGAATATTTTTAATTTTCAATAATTTTGGATTTTTCCGGACCTAAAAAATAAGAAAAGAGAAACTAATATTTTAACATTTTAGTGACACCTGGGATATCCTCCTCCTTTGAGCCCTCTTCCTAGCTATGGCTCTGATGTTATAATTTTTAATTAAAAAAATTATACCTTGTAGGATCTTGTCACATAGTGGTTGTCATCAAGATTTGGAAGATAAATTTTCACAATCAATTTTTTATTCATGTCCGTTTGCAAATACTCCATAAACCCCATTCTTGTATCTTCACCACTGCTATCAGCTATGATCATAATATTAAAATAATAATTTACACATATTAATGTTGAATAATTTATAAAAATGTTCATGAAATTATAAATATTAAAGTAAAGATTATCAGCATCTACAAACCTATTAATAATTCAGCTCCTGCCATTTCACAAAATAAAAATAGATCGGAAGGAAATTCTTCTCGCTCATGCTTCATTGCTATGTTTCCAGCGAAAGTTCCAGTCTGAAAAAAATTGTCGTCCAATGAATTATCATCTTTCAACGTTGTCTTATCCTCATTTTACAGATAAAGCAAATATTATTCTTATGCTATAGATACATGGAATACAGTCACAACAGTTGGAAATAAATTTGTACCTTTAATCAAATTTCTTAGAATTTAATTTTTATGGAAGAAAAGGCAAAAAAAAAACAAACAATAAACTAGAACTGATTAATAGGAATATTTAATATTGACAGCCACACTGCAAAAGCATACAGGTACAAATTTATTAGAAAATGAGGTTTTGAATTATTCTCTGGTAAATATTGGTCTCATTTATATTCAGGATTAAAAATCAAAAAGTTATTTAAAACATTACATCTTTGCCTTAAACATACAGAAAAGATTAAACAGAAAATCTAGTTCATAAAATAAAAAATACAGTTAATTTTGCCTCATGAATAATTTCAGTTTTTTCCCGTATTAAGGTCTTGCAATGGGGCTGTCAATATTCTATATCACACAAAAAAACTTGTTATAGCTTTACAACAACAATGGGGAGAAAATTTTTTTCATCTACAGAGAAGAATTTTATATAAAAAGACTATAAAGAAACCAAATATTCATATAATTAAACTCATAATTTCAAATAAGGTGCATCAAAGATCTATAAAATTGTTTAACAATTAATTTTCATTACTTGTTTTCTTCTAAAATGAAATATTCCCTATAATCTAAGATATATGTTTTCAGTCAATTTATTTTTACTTTTACTTACTTATATATAGTAAGGGAAAGTATTGCAATCATGAAAATTTTCGAATCTGAGTTTTCAACAGATATCCATTTTGAGTTCTCCTGAGTCCAAATAACCAAGTCCCACAAAATTTTCTATGTGTGTGTGTATGTATGTGAACAATCTAGCTCAAAATCAAAATCGGCTAATCGGAAGTGCACTTTATGTCATCGATTTTAAACATTTTTACAATTTCCTCTAAAACAGCTCCAAGGATTTTAAATTCATTATATCAGTGTAGAATGAAGCAGTTTTTAATATATTGTAAGTCACATTCTTATTGATGTTCTCTAACAGTGTTTAAATGCCTAATTTCCAAAATTTCTCTAAAGTACCTTTAAATGTTTTTGTTTGAAATAATTAACCATTTCACATATAAACAATATGATATAATGGTTTAATATAATGAATGAAGAAAATTTATTTGTAACTTAAGGAAAAATAACAGTTGGCAGCTAAACGGGAACAACCGTGAGTGCCCGACCTTTGCTGATCCTCTCCATTTACAGATACATAATACCCCTCTGTCCTGGGTTGCATATTATTAATTTAATTTTTATACATCACTTATCCATAATTTAAAAAAAAATTCATGAGAAATGTTAAGGATCTACTAATATACAATATTTATTAACATGTTGTGATAAATATTCTGATAAAACTCTTATTTAGAATATTAATTAGAATTAATAAATTTAGAATTTTTTCTAAAGATCCATTTTTCCCATAATCATTAGTATTGTTTAATTCTATACACAGTCGTAAGGAAATGAAAAGTGATGCAAACGTATAAATTTAACAGATTCTATGGGTAGGAAAAACATGATATTAATTGTTTTAAATAAAATTATACAGTCATTTTCACTTTGACTTCCCTATATATGAAAATACCCATCTATTCAAAGATTGGTAAGCAAAAGTTGTATAGTGTGCGGCACCACACCAGATTTTTTACTATATTATGTTAAAGTACTGTCAACTTATAACAAAGAATTATAAATGTGTTTTTTAATCTAAGGTACAAGGTGCTGATTTTTTGACCAATTAATAACCTACTAAGTTTATAAGATGAGTAATATTAAACATTCATAAATTCCATTTATTGAAAAAATAGTTTTTAAATGTAAATCTCATTAAAAATACAGACTAGAATAAAAATAATGCAGATTAATACTAACATTTCTAACTGGAACGTTAGCTATGAGGTCAATGTGGTCAGCAAGTGTTTGGCAATAGCTGAATCTTTTAGGTTGTTCCTTTGCAAGCTTATAGAAAAGATTCATTGCTTCTGTAAGACCAATATTTGCTCCAAGAGTTATACCTTCAGAAGTTATTTCTGAACCATGCAGTTCCGCAAGGCCATTAAGATCAATAAATACTTCTGGGTTGTTCTCAATGCGATAGACACCTAAACAAATTAAACAAAAAAAACGTACTTCTCTATAGAAATAGTTGGAATATAATTATTTATAATTTTGTTTTTGGAAATATTCTCATATAAATAGAGTTCACCACAAAACCATACTGAAAGTCTTTATATTTAAATAATATCTACAAAATATTCTGCACAGTACTCTAACTATTAATTTTGTTACATTGAAAGTAAACTATAAGATTATCAGTATAGCCCAGATTAATTTCAAGTCAACGTTTTTATTAATTGAAATTTAAAAATTACCATAAGGCTGCAATAGATTACATATGTAATTTGGCGCATTTAACTTTTATAAATTATTGTTTTATACAAAAAATAATGAAAGAGGATGGAATAAGGTTTTCAAGGGGCTTACATATACATATTTATCCTCAAAGAACGATTAAAATTAATGAAGCAGAAGAAGAAATGAAAATTTGGTTAACTATTGACAGCTAGTGGTTTCTATTAAATGTTGAAGATAACATATTGGCAGAATAAGACGAATAAGATTACTGGATGAATTTTGATAATAAACAGTGGAATCATTTATTCCATTACAAAATATTTTATCATGTCCATACCTTTTTCTTTTTTTTTTTGTCCACCCTACCTCACCTTTTAGGCTATAAAAGAATTTTCACAGGAAGTGGGAGAGAATAGGAGATTAATGCCACAGTTAAAAGCACCCTGTCACCAAGACATGAACCCATAATTATTTTATATCTTTTATAAACTTCAATTTATCAACCATCTGGTTACCAGACTATGCATGTTTTGCACACATCATACTCATTATCATACTCATAACCCCTAAAGTAGCTTACATTTTCTATCAAGTGCCAATAAGGAGAAGAGTAGAGAAAATGGAATTAGTTCCATAATAATTTTTGGGATTAGTTTCCATTTCCTCTCCTCATCTGCTCACATGAACAAAATAGAGTATATTTTTCATTTTCAAAATTTATTAGGTACTCAATTCTGGTAGCACATCTTATCACTCTCCAGTTTGCTTCTTTGATTCAAATATGTTTGATGGACATTACATAGTTATGAAATAACATTGGTGTATATTATAAATAAATTTATAATACCTCTATATTATATACAATTTACCTTGCCCTGTGTTGCCAGCTACAAAGCGGTAACGTTTATCCCCAATCATATCAAATACTTCAAATACTTCTTGCCTTTTTGAAGGTCTGTACCAAGAAGCTCCATCTTGAAGCTGAAAGTGAAGTCCTACATTTGGGGAAGGCAGGCTGACTGTAGTTGATCGAGAACAACTATTATTGCAAGATCCAGTGTAACAGGATTCTCCAGTATTAGGGCATATCATATCCTATAAAAATATGTCTAATTTATCTTCTAAATCATAAATCTATAAAATGTTACAACAGATTATTTTCTTGGCAGAACGTTGTATATTTATATTTTCTTACTTCAATATCAGAGAGTTTTGCCACTAATTTATCTGGGGCATCACTCGCGAGGGACTTGAAAGCATCCAGTATGGGTCGATAGCCTGTACAACGACATATGTTGCCACCAAATGAATTTTCAACTTCTTTCATAGTAATATTTGGATTTTCTTCTAATAAACTGAAAATTATATTAACTAATAAATCAATAGAAAAAATTAAACATGATTTTTTTTTTCTATAATGATCTGATGTTTGTTCATGAAGATAATGAAAAAATAAAAATTACCTGTGCATGTTCATAACCATGCCTGGGCTACAGTAGCCACATTGAGTGCCATTAGCAGCGGCTAGCCTTTTTACTACTTTGTCGTAACCTGTTTTCTTTGAGCCAAGACCTTCGACAGTTGTGACTGCCCAGCCATGGCAAGCAAATATTGGTACAAGGCACTGAAATAAAAATGTTAACAATTTTTTATTATAAAGTAGTAAGATTGGACTGCTGTAATTTAAATTTATTCAAGTAAGTTCATTTAAACATTGTTGGTCATAATATTTAATAAAAGTTTATGGGACAACACTTCAATAAAATGCTCACTATCTTACTGAATTTACTGCTTGCGTGACCATTTTTCCAGTAGTCGGATGTGCAGATTTCACTTCAACAATGCAAGCACCACATCCTCCTTCAAGACACATGAATTTGGTACCTTTCAAATGAGCATATTCTCTTATGTAGGTATTAAGAGATGTATCAGCAGGAACATTGTCAGATACTGGGGAACAAATAATATAAATTATTAAAATCAATCTGTGAGGTAATATAAAAAAAAAATAAATTAGAATTTGTGTGATCAGCAAGAAAATAAGAAATTGGTGGTTAACAACTGACTATGGATGAAAGGATGGTAGGTAAAAATGTATTAAAGTTTAGATATAGCTTCTCCTAGCCACATAGGGATATTACATTGACACTGGTTTCTGTCCCTCCTTTGGCTGACAGAGGCAAAAGCCAGTTTGGTCCAAAAAGCACAGCCAAGCCAAGTGGTCTAGTGAGTGAACAGGCTAGCTATTCAGTAATATTTTCAGATTAGAAAGGCTGGAGAAGTCCATCCAAATGGATGCCTTGCTTTAAAGTTTAAGTGACATTTAATTTACTGACATCAGTATTTGTAGTAACGATGCAAATTAAAAACTAAAAAAATATATAAGAGATGGAGAAAAATGAAAGGAAAAATTTTTATAAACACAAACTAGTTTTGTTTTACAAAGCAAATGAGTATCTTGATTTGTTTATTTATTGATACCGAGCATTAAAATTAACTAGTTACTTTAAACTTATTATGCCGACACTGATTCATTTTATTCAGGCTGAATGACATATTTTTTTCATTAATATTGGACCAGGGTTTAGAAACCTTTTAGGTTCAATATTTCTCTCCGATTCATTAATATAAAATGAATGCAATCAATCAATCATAGTCCAAACATGGACAATTTTGAAAATTTTGTTTGATCTCACTTTGTCAAATAATATTTTTGAGCCACTTATTAAAAGATTAATTATCTCAAGAATTAAAAATTAAACCTGATTATAACATTTTTATAGATGAGAGAAAAGATAAAATTGGATTTATAATATGCAAATTACTTTCATGAAAAGAGTTCTGAGTTATGAGTCAAATTCAGAATTCTCATTCAATAATTCCTCTATATAAATCCTATTTATAATGGTCATAAATTTGGAATTCTTCTCATGCTATTTCTTGATATAAAACTCATTTACAACAGTCATTAAGATCAATAACTGGCTTTTGACTTATCTTAATCAAATAAAAAAAATATAAAAAAGGATAGATAGTTTTAAATATATTTTTCTCAGTCAACATAATTAATAAAGATGATTAAAATGAAATACAAATTAATGTGGCAGATGGTATCAGCCTCAAAATTATAATCATATAGAGTTAATTTATACTTTTGATCGTTTTAAAAAGTTTCACCTTTGTATTTTTTTCCATTTATTGTGAGCTCCACCTCCCGCCCAAGATTTCTGAAAAACAAAAACAAAAAAATTATTAGACAACTAATTAATAAATTAAAGTAATATTGAGCATTACATAATGTTTTTAAAGCAATATCTAATCAATATAAAGAATTAAAAATTCTTTGTATTAAATTATTTTAGGCCTTTTTGTTCTCTAGCATTTATTTACTGTTGCATAGGTTGTTTAATATAACCTAATTTGGAATCATTAATCTACATAAATACACCTAAAGATAAACAAAAGTCTGTTTAAAATAAATTAACAAATCTAAAAGGTCAATAAACATAAATTATACTGGGCAGCAATGAAAATTTTCTGCTATAATTAATGCAGAATTTCTTGTTTGAGAGTGCTTTTTTAGTATAAAATGCCAAGGAAATGTGTAAAAATGATGAATAATTTTTTTTTATATTTGTGGTGAAATAACATTTTCCTCACATAAATGCAATATGATGCCTCTTGTCTGCATATCAGCATTATTTTGATATGAAAGTAGGGAACCAGAATAAGTCTTGGGCGCCACTGATATGTTGTGACACATGTTCAGTTACACTGCCGAGAATGGATGAGGAAGAAGAAACAGTCTATGGCTTCACTGTGGATAATGGATAACCTGTGGTGATCTAAAAGTCATAACTGGCATACACAAAACATTACTGCTTCTTAAGTATGTGGGACATTAGAAATAGGAAATTATATTAAATTATTAAAGGAGACTGGCCTGCAAGAAATCTTAACCCTAGCGAGAAAAATATTGATGCCAAGCCTCTCATGGACCCAAAAGATATTATACTTCCACCCCTGCATATTAAGCTTGGTTTGATGAAAATTTTTTTCAAAGGTATGAACAAAGAAGGACGGACCTTTAAGCACATAAGGGAGAAATTTCCGAAATTAAGTGATGCAAAAGTTATGGAAGGAATTTTTGTTGGCCCCAAATTCGAGTACTTGTGAAGGATCCTGCATTTGACCAAGTTTTGGAAGGGAAACAAAAGGAAGCTTGGGAAGCCTTCAAGAGAGTTATTCATGAATTTTTAGATTTGATGACAGTGCTCCTGTGAAAGTACTATAACCTTGGATGCAACATGTCCCTTAAATCCATTTTCTCCACTTCCATCTAGACTTTTTCCCTCCTAGCTGTTAGTGATGAACATGGAGAAAGATTCCATCAGGACATTTCTGTTATGGAACAAAGATATCAGGGCCATTGGAATGAAACAATGCTAGCAGATTACTGTTGGTCTTTATGTAGGGATGCTCCGGGATTCCCTTACAAGAGGCAAGCTATAAGATCTTATGAAGCCACCACATAATCTCTTCAGACACGACCGTCTGCGAAGTTTTCTTCCAGCAATTTAAAACTCTTATAATCTAACTACCATTTTGAAAAATCAAATGCACTTTCAATGTTGTTAGCATATATAATTAAAATGTAAAATTTTCTCTTAACCCATTAATATGAAATATTTCACCCAGTGTATATCATTAAAACTAGAGCTAAGAAAAATTTTTCATTGTCATATTCGTTTTTCTCAACACAAAATTAGTAAGAATCGACTCATGAAGTGCTGGAAACATTCAAAAATTTGTTTTTTGTTGCCCAGTCTTATTGAAGGACTGTTAGGTGGACCTGATTTAAAAGCAAACCGAGAACAGTTTTGGTCATTCATTTAAATTAATTAATATTTTTCTTAACAATGTATTTTAAAAATGTAAGATTTTTTTTCTTAGTTTCCACTCAATAAAACCAATATCATGCAAATTATGTTATGTTGTGTAGTTTTCTAAATATAAATATAAATATTGAGAGGAAAAATATGTTTTTTATGTATTTTTAAAAGTATGAATTAATCATAATGTCTATTGCTTAAAGTTGTTTGTTTTTTTTTTCTCCAAAATTAATCTAAAATGTTTAAATATAATGTCATAGAAAATATATATTTAATATATAATGATAAAACATATTACATTTAAAAATCACAAAAAAAGTAAAATTTATCATTTTTTTAAGAGGAATGGTGAAATGTTAGCAGCTCAATGAAATAATAGTTAACAAATAATAAACATAACTATTTAATATTTAATCACTATTAATTTGTAGGTAATTGTAAAGACAATAGTGAGCTGGAATTGAATAGAGTAGCGTCGAAAATATATTATTATAAATTGACGGATGTGTTATAAAAAAAAAAAAAGTAACAGAAGAAAGTAAGAAAAATAATCTATAAAAATATGTAAAGAAAATAACACAATTTTGTAATAGAAAATGAAGAGTAAATCCTGGTTACTTTTAAATACATCATAGAATATTTTATTTACAGAAATATTCACAAAACCTAACAATATGAAATTGGAAATTAAAAAAAAAAATACAATTATAAAAATTGAGTAACAAGATGTGTCTAGTCATTATAGTTATTTGATTTATTTGTTTTGTATAAAGACATTTAATAAAACAAATAAACATTAAATTATAAAAGAAAAGAAAACACATTCTGTTACACTCGCGCTATTAAAATTATTCAAGAGGGAGTTCCCCTGAAATAGTTTCAAGGACTACCTCCAGAGCTGAATCTTAATTGGCTTTAGGTATGCATGGACTACTAACTCCTATAAAACATTGTTTATAAAATCTCTACTAATGAATTAATCATTCAAGTTACATTATATATTTACATAATCGAGAAAAAAAAATGATCTCACAATTTTGGTTTCAAACCAAATTATTTTTTTTTTTAATTTCCTTTTACCTAATTGTGCTGAATAATTTTGTACAAGCACCAAAGTTGTGACAATCTAAAAAACAAGTTGGAAAAAAATCTTGGCCAATTAAAATGTTATTAATAAAAAGTGCTCTTCAAGGTGGTAACTGACCTGGAAAACAAGGAAAAATGAGAAAAGTCAGAGAATTTTCAAAACCGGAAAAAAGTAAGGGAAATATTGTTTAAGTCAGAGAATTATTTTAGTATGTAAATTTTTTTTTTCAAATTTGATATAAATATAAAATGGATATCGTTTATTATTATAACCTTGAAGGGATAAACCTTGTCTTTATAATGGACCATGGTCGCTATATTCATCAACCTTTGACTGTCAATAATGGCACTGGTCATTATATTGAAATCAAACAAGAGTAATGAATAAAATTTAAGCAAAATGGAATTCTTTGAAAAGAAAAGCATACCAATATTATCTACTGTTTGTAATACCTATAAATACATCTATGGACATATTAATTTTTTTTAAAAAGAAAGTAATGAATTTCTTAACGACAATACTGTGTATAAATAAACATCCGTTAGAACATTTTCCAATCTTAAAATGTAAAGTCCGATTGAGCATAAGCTTCTTAGAAAATTGCGTTTAAAGCGTTGAATATGTCAGCATCATGATAATTCTCCTGTACTATTGGCTAAACCTTTCAAGTTCATTTGTTGGTTAACTTAAAGAGAACGCCGTCAATTTCACAGCTAATTAAAAAAACAAAACAGTTTTGTATCTGGAGCAGAATCTTTGTATTAATCTTCACAAAATATTAGTTTGAGGTTCATCAAATCGATGGCGGATTGATTACAAATATTTGTTAGTCTTTTCGAGGAAATCTGCCTCAACCCTGATAGCGGAATATTCAGAACAACAGATTTCGTTATGATTATAAATATCTTACATGTATAATAAATAAAATTATTTATAAATTATACATTTGTAATATTTGTGTCTCCAGACATATTGGTCAGGGAAAACTATCATTAAATAGGGAAAAGTCAGGGAATTTTACTTTAACGATCTGGTAACCACATTGGCTCTTGCAGCACAACAACAATGAACGTAATGATTGATTTCAGAATGCGGATATACTCCGCATGTAAAGATAAAAAAACTCGGGCTGCCTCAATGCGGAATTGAGGGGTCAAACGAGGGCAATGTTTTGTAACTGGAAGACTGGCCTCATGCCAGCTAGAAACAGATGGCTCATAATTTAACTCCTTTTAGAAACTTGAAAAGCGAAAACGGGAATACTTTTTATGCTTGTTTCTTATTATCAAGGAATCCGTCACTCGTTGCAAAAATAAATTTTTAGCTCGGCACTTTAATAATAAAAAAATTAAACCAAGGATGAATGAATGAAAAAATAATTTTTGAATGAAAAAATAATAGTTACGTAATTAAGAACATTAGCCTGGCTTAGATGAATACAAAATGATGCCTAATTAACTGTTGATTGTTATTGCGATTTTGCAGTTGATTGAATTAGACTTTGTACACAGAGGCAAGTGAATTTTACATGTTTGTGGAAGTTCGAATATGGAGTAGATGGTGGAACAGGAGTTGTATGAAGGAATTCGTGGACGAGGATTGGCGTATGGAGTTAGGTAGAGTTCCAAAAGGAGGCAGCACGATTGACGAAGGAAGTAGTTTTATAGGAGGGGGTATATAAATCTATAGGTTGAGACCTGGTATTGAGAGAGTGGATAGAGGAACGTAAAGTAAGTAGTTCAGGATGTAGGGAGGGTTTTTGGTTTTGAAGACTTGGAAAAGGGAAAACACCAATGAGGAATTGTCGTCGGGAAGTAGGATAAAGCACGGTGTACTCGTGTATTCAACTCGGTGTACTCGTACCTGAATGAAACATTGGAACGCTTGGGGAACCCAAAGATGTATCTTATGAAACCGTTCATGAGCTTCTTTAATCTTATTTCTAGCCTGGCAGATAGCCCTCCATACTCCAAACAGCCGTAATCGAAGTGAGGGAATATAAAGGAGGTTACAAGGAGCTGTCTGGAAAGTAGGGAAGGGAACTTATGAGATGACTGGACCCGATGAGAATAGCCTTAGTTTTATCTGCATTCAGCTTTAACTCATTTCTTTCAGTCCATCGGTTGATGTAGTCGATATCCTCATGTAGCTTTCGTGTAGCCGTTGGCATCTCAGGAGGGTGGAATGATTGGTAAATTTGGAAATCATCAGCATATAGATGGTAACGGCACTGTTGAATTGCGTCAGG